CAAAAGATTAACAAAAATGTTAGTAAAAATAAAAGGGTCTGTTCTGTAAAATTTGGATTTGATCAAAAGGCTACATTTCAGGACCTAGAAGGCCACAGGTTCCCCACTCCTGCTCTAGTAGGTATCTTGGTAAATACCAGCAACCCCCATCTTGGGGCTCACTGCATCACCTAACTGGTCCTGCCTGGTTAGAAAAGCTACACACTTCATATTCTGCTTTAAAAGTTGCCCATTCATTGGTATTAGCTTTTGTCTGCAGTGGTAAAGATAAGTATGCCTCCTCATTCAGGACTTCACACCATGGCCACCAGCTTTAAGATACCTTCTCTGGACAGCAGGGCATCCAAAAAGTGGGGATCTGTCCCTCACTACAAGATGACTTAGGCAGGCCTGGACAGGACTTCTCCAATCTCTCTCTCTGTCTCTGTCTCTTTCTCTCTCTCTCACCCACACACACACTCTCTCTCTCTCACACACACACAAACTCTCCTTAGACTAGCACTAATACAGCTGTGGTGATCACAATGAAAACTGTAGCTAGATATTAAACTGTTCTACCCATATCTGTAGAAAAATTAGCATGCTTAATAAGAAGCTTGCTGGTACTCACAAACTATCATAGCTCACACATTCCTTCCCTGCTTTTAAACCCTTTTTCTAAATCTGCAAACTCTTTTCAGAAGAAGACAGTCCTCGAGTTTATTACTAAAGCCTGGAAAAGTCAAGATTATGCTGTGGCAAGGCAAAGGAGATATTATTTCCTGCCTAAAATTCTGGTCTGTTGCCCTCCAGCCTCAGCTATCATATGACCTTATAAAAACTCTACCCTCACATACTTCAGGCCAACAGAGCTGTATTTCATGTCAACCATGATGAGATGGCAAGCCATCTGTGTTGAAGGATCTTAGACATAGGAATGGAAGGCACCTGGATAACTATTAACAATCATCCTGAATTTGATGATTACAAGTCTTGGTTCATCTGCCTTCTGGAGTGATTAACCTCTAAATCTCAAGGTAAACAGCAAAAGAAATACACTTGAAAATAAAACTGTTCTCTATAAGGAACTTTTTTCTGAGAAGTTGGGTTGTGACAAGAAGACAAAACTAAAATCACACCATGGTTTGGCCTCAATACTCACCGAAGGATCAACCTGGTCGTTGGTTACTCCTCGCAGAACTATTTTTAATGGGTGCTTCATAAATGGAGCCAGGCAAAGGAGACTCTCCAGGTAATAGCCAATGCTGCGAAGGACGCTACAGTCATGTTCCACGAATCCACCATATAGGAGGCCAGGCTGGTAATATAAGGTTGTTCCTTAAACCAGAGGAGAAAGAGTCACATTCAGCAAGAAAAAAATCAAGTATCACAAAGGTAATGAAGGCACTTAGTCCCAAGGGGAAAGTCTGACAAGGGCATCCAAGGGAGTTTGAAATGCCATTGCTAAGAGCTCACACTTCACTCCAAAAGATGACTCACTACTGTCAAGCCCCTGTAACAATAATAAACTGTGAGTGTAATTTAATAAACAGTGATAAATTAAACCCCTCCCTAAGCCACCTGAGTTGCCAAAGTCATGGCAGGGCACAGAGGAGAGATCCGAGTAAGCACTTGTTTGCCGAGCAGCACACTCTCAAGCTGGGCTGATGGTAGGGAGTAATTACAAATGTTGTTCTTAAACCATCACACTAGTAACCAGCATCTTCTAGACCTCTTGAAATGAGATTTCTCTGATAAATCACTCACTAAACCACATGCCTAAAAAAGGCAAGTACTATATGGCATGTAATGCCATTAGTAGTAGCTGTTTTAATTTAATATTGATACGTGGAAATAGCTAACATTATTTTATGGCTTTAGTGAAAACTAGTATCTTTATTCACATCATCCAAAAAGTTTCTTACTAGGTTTACGTATCAGAGGAAAAACCATGTAACATACCCTACATGATTTAAGGAATCATAAATAAGGTATTTCTGCTGCTAAAATCTTTTTCAGTGTTTTCTGGTACAATTTACTAAAACCAAGCAGACATGTTCAGTCATTCAAATGGAAAATAGCTCTTGGCAGTTTGATAAAAATAAATTTAGGTTTTACTAAATTAAAAACCAAAATTCAGGCCGGGTGTGGTGGCTCACGCCTGTAATCCTAGCACTCTGGGAGGCTGAGGTGGGTGGATCGTTCAAGGTCAGGAGTTCGAGACCAGCCTGAGCAAGAGTGAGACCCCGCCTCTACAAAAAAATATAAAGAAATGATCTGGACAACTAAAAATATATATATAGAAAAAATTAGCCGGGCATGGTGGCGCATGCCTGTAGTCCCAGCTAGTTGGGAGGCTGAGGCAGAAGGATCCCTTAAGCTCAGGAGTCTGAGGTTGCTGTGAGCTAGGCTGACACCACGGCACTCACTCTAGCCAGGGCAACAGAGCGAGACTGTCTCAAAAAAAAAAAAAAAGCCAAAATTCAAACAATCACTATCAGCATCATGTTCTGATCAAAGTGGCTAACACTTCTCAAAGGGACGGGTTCTGGGTCAGTTATGCTAAATACTATTCAGAGTCACAAAACCATCCTTTAGGTCAAAAAGCCAAAAAGAGACTACAGAACCAAATCTTTTAATCTATCTGTTTATGCCTACAAATTAACCAAATGAGAAACTGACCGGATCATCAGAATGAAGGCTTCTACTCTGATGGCGAAAAAAAGGAGGACATGGGGTGGAAGCAGGATCATATAAATGTCTTTCTTCTCAACCTACACTTGAAGATATAACCAGAAAAAATAAAATTAACTGCTCTCCAAACCACCAATAAAAGTGGCTAAAAAAATCTCCAGCAATTTCAAGTAAACTAGCCAAGGAAGATTAAAGGAATCACAGCTGACAAAGCTATAGATCAGCACATCTCACGTGGCACAGGACCACCTATGAACCCAAGCTTGTGTCAAGAAAGCCAAAATATGGGAAAGGTCTGAAATTCCTTTGTGGAATATGTGTGGAAAGACATAGAGCTCATGGAGTTAGCCAAAGGATGTTTGCCATGGTCTTCTATACAATGTAGATAAAAATTTCTAATAGCAAAAAAAAAAGCTAGAAACAACCTAAATGTTTATCAGTAGGGAGCAGTTAAATAAATTACCATGCATCCACACAATGGAATACTATACCACAGTCCACAGAAATATTGGGATAGACCTGCATGTGCTGGTAGGGAAAGTTCTCTGAGACATTTGTGTAAGAAAATGCTGGCTGCAGAACAATATGAAGAACATGACCCCACTGATGGTTTAGACTACGTAAGTGCCCACGTTAGCAGATGCTGCAATAGTGTCTACCGCTGGAGAGGGGAATGGAAAAGGAAGGAGGTGAAAGGATTTTCGTATTATTTTTGCATATAGCTGGATAAACTTATTTTATGCCTAACATTTACATAAAACTTTTCAAAGTCCATTTACTTGTATTACCACATTAAATTCTTACAACAAATTCTGTGAGGTAGTTTATCTGATAAATTCTATTTTAATTTTTAACTTTGTCTTTGAAAATATTTATGGTTAAAAAGAGGTGATTGCTTGCTGATCTGAAATTTTCATTCTTCCCACTTCTCTAAATCAAATGTATGCCTCTTAATTGGACAATCAAATCACAAACAAGTAATGGGTCTTTCCATCTGACAAAATACTGACACCATATTTTTTTAAATGATCCAGAATGATAAGCTTTTATTATAATCTCCACTCACATCTTTGTCATATAACCCCCAAACATTACAATTTAATGCTGGCTTATGTAACACAAAGTGATTAGTAAACTTTTGAACACAATATTTATATCATTAAAAAGAGTGAGAAACAGGCTGGGAGCAGTGGCTCACACCTATAATCCTAGCACTCTGAGAAACCAAGACAGGAGGATTGCTTGAGCTCAGGAGTTCAAGATCAGCCTGAGAAAGAAACAAGACCCCATCTTGACTAAAAATTAAAAAAATTAAAAAAAAAAAAAGAGTGACGAAACACAGGAATGCTTAAGTAGTGCATGTAGGTGCTTTTAAGAATAGAGAGAAAAGGACCTTACCTGTTTGGTTTATTTCAATTCGAGAACCATTAGTTATTTTGTCCAACAGTCTTATGAAGCTGGCTTCAAAATCTGAGAGGAAAACAGAAAACACATTGGCCTCACGTTAGGTCATTGTTTCTGGAAAGCACATCTGATCTGGGTCCTGCTGTAGAGAGTAGGTTACTTCCTGCATCATTCCTGGCCTTTCCTCAGGAACTGGGTGGGTTCACAGGTTGAGGAACTTGAGGCAGTTGAATAGCAATGATTGGTACCTACACGTTTAATAGAACTTAGAAACAGGCTGGCCATGGTGGCTCAGGCTTGCAATCCTAGCACTCCGGGAGGCCCAGGCAGGAGGTTTGCTTGAAGCCAGGAGTTCAAGTAGAACTTAGAAACAATTCAGCTTTCACATTGCATAAAAAATAGCAGCTCTACCAGAAATCTAACAGAATATTAATTTCAGTAATAGAAAACTCATAAAAGACATGTTCTTCTGATCTCAGGATGGCATGCCAAATAAGGGACAAACAGTAGAAAACAGGCAAGGGTTTTAAAACCCCTTAAATTCATCCTTGCTCCAGAATGCCCACGAAGGGAGATTAAATTGAGGGCCACCCTTCAGTCTCAGAGACAGTAAGAGATCACTTCACTATCTCTCTCATTCAACAATGTCCCTTGCTCTATCATCTTACTGATCTATATAACTATCTATTCAATTCAGTTTTTTATTTCATTGAAAAGGTGCTTGAATATACAGTATTACTGCCATCTTTTTTTAATTACATGAAAAAAGACTGGAAGAAAAAAGACCAAATGTCAACAAATGGGTTTCTCTTTATGATAGGATTTTATATGAATTTCATATTAAATGTGTTTATATTTTATCTTCAAATTTGCCTTAATTCCTTTTATAAACAGATTGTTATCTAAAACATAAAAGTTGGTCATTCTTTTAAAAAGAGAGGAAGGAGGGAAGGGAGGGAGGGAGGAAGGAAGGGGAGGAAAAGAGAATAGATTTTAAATTTGAAATTATGGAAGGAAGAATGAGGACTCAGACGGGGGAACATGTCCTCTGGCCTTCCCCTGAGCTAATCTTATACATACACACCCCCTTTAGTTTTAACTTCCTGCTCATGAACAAAGACAGAAAGGCCAACTCTTCTGCTCTTGAAGGCGCGGTGATTGCTGATACTTTTAGGCAGTTCCCGCTCCTGTAGTAAACCACCAGAGTTTGCAGACACAGACCCCGGCAGTCACCTAAACTGATCCCAAAGGGTGAGCACATCGACTAAGCAATTCCCATCCACCTGGTCTGTTACTTAACACTGTCCCATAACTCTTGTCATAGTAGATTCTGCTATCTGCAGAAGCACCTGGCTAGAAATCAAAGAAACTTCATTAAATCCTGAAACAAATAATGGCTAATAACAGCTGCTGTGTATTAAACACTTACTTTGCATCTACCTTTTTTTATTTAATCCTCATAACCCTGAAGCATAGAGTTTGCTATGGTTTGAATGTCCCCTCCAAAATTCATGTTGAAATTTAATCGCCATTGTGACAGTATTAAGAGATGGGACAATTAAGAGGTGATTAGGCCTTAGGCTTCTGCCCTTATGAATGGATTTATGTCCTTATCACAGTTCTGGATTCATTAACACAAAGAGTGGGCTGTTACAAACATGAGTCCAACAGGGAGCAGTGGCTCATGCCTATAGTCCCAGCTACTCAGGAGGCTGAGGCAGGAGGATCCCTTGCACCCAGGAGTTTGAGGACAGCTTGGGCAACATAGCAAAACCTCGTCTCCTTAAAAAATAAAAATAAAAAAACAAGTCCAGTCCTTTCTTGTTTCTCGCCCCATCTTGCACCCTTCCACTTTCTGCCATGTTGCCAGATACCAACATCTTGATACTGGACTTCCCAGCCTCCAGAACTATGAGAAATAAATTTCTTTTCTTTATATAAATTATCCAGTTTGTAATAGTCTGTTATGGCAACACAAAATGGACTTAGACACCATTATATAGAAGGCTGAGACCCAACAATGTCAACTAGCCTTCCCTGGTCAAATGATCAGCAAGTGGCAGAGTCAGGATTTGAGACCAAGTCTGTCCTTCTCCAAAGTCCACACTCTTAACCACACCATGACATTAGTTTGCCTCTATTCAGTTTAATCCCCCAGAGCCAAGCTCTTCCTCTTTGCAACTGTTGGATCTTGTGGTTAATTTAATGGATCACTAATCAATATTTTAAAAAATAAATTAGAACAGAATAGACTACATCGGAGTAACTGTACATACTAAGGGTGCTGTTCATAAAATTTTCGTTTGTTTTACATATATGTATATGGGTACTAGGTTGCAGTACAAGCAGCATCACAAAAGTTTGAAAGTAACTGAACTATGGAATTGAACTAGAAATTATTTTTATAGTCTTTTTCTATAAACATTCTGTCCTTAAAAATTAAGCTCAGTCTCTATAACAATGCCACTTTCAAGTTAGGTTATAGAAAATACAAGGTAAAGCAGGGCATGATAACTCACACCTGTAATCCTAGTGACTCAAGAGGCTGAGGTGGGAGAAATGCTTGAGCCCAAGAGTTCGAGACCAGCCTGGGCAACACAGTGAGATTTCATCGCTAAAAAAATTTTAAAAATTAGCTGGCCATGGTGGTGTACACTTGTATTCCTAGCTACTTGGGAGGGTGAGGTAGGAGGATCACTTGAGCTTCGGAGTTTGAGGGTACAGTAAGCTATGATCCCACCACTGCACTCCACCTGGGGTGACAAAGACCTCATAGAAAGAGAAAGAAAAGGAGAGAGAGAGAGAGAGAGAGAGAAAGAGAGAGGATTATGCAAGGTACTCTGCACAAAAAAGAGAAAGAAAAAAGAGGCCTTGATTTGCTCAAGCTTTCTAGGTACCTAAATGGGAGAGAGGAAAAGCCCAAGATTAAACCCGATAGCTTTTAAAAGAAGAAAACATGACTTTAGAAGTTTGGGGGCAGGAGAAAATCCACAGGGGCTCTTGAGCACAAACATAGTCAGAAATGCCCAGCAGGAACCTAAGTAGGAAGAGAATGGGCATAAAGAGGCTTGCAGGCAGGACCATCCCTGGTCACAGCAAACAGGTGCTTCAGAAGCAGCACTTCAAAGAACCAGACTCAGAGCTAGTTCCAGAGCACTGGCAACAGTGAAGATATAGCTCCATCACCTGGTGTGAAAAAGATCTCAGGTTCACCTAATAATAGTAAGATCAAAGTCCTCAAACTTCATTAAGCAAGATGTGTAGGATTCTTTGCCCATTCACATCCCACACACCCTTTCTGATTCTTCCTCTTCACGAATGCTCCTGGGGATATAAAATTTCACAAATCTAAAAATTTTAAAGGAAAAGTTCCAAAAGCAAGTATAATTTAGTACATTGTTTAGGAATACATAATTAGGTTATAAAACTATAAAGAGAATCAAAGTGAATGTCATAATGGTCAGGATAGTGGCTACCACTGGAGGCATGGTAGGGAGCTACGAATGCTAAGTGCACAGATATTGGCAAAGTTCTACTGCTTGGCGTGGATGGGGATCACGCAGATGTTCATTTCATAATCCCTGAAGCATTACTTTCATATCTGATGCATTTTTTATTATACGTCCTTATATTTCACATTTAAAAAATCTTTTAACTGTTGAGACCATCAATCTCAGGATTCCTTAAGTATCACCTCCCGTGCCTAATCCCCTCCCACTCTCTATCCCCAAAATAATCCCCCAAATAAGCGATTTCATTTTTTTCTTTTCTTTTCCTTTTTTTTTTTATTGGTGCCAAAATATGAGGTTGAACCATCATTTCTTTAAAGTGTTTGTGTGTCCTATAAGACAGTGTCAGTCATCAGCCTGAACCGTTCCTCACTAAGAAAGGCAAAAGCATGTCTCAAAGGAGGGGAGTGGGGAAAGAATACAATCTAAAAATCTGTACTTTAAAAACAAGGAGCAAATTTCAATAAATACATTCTCACTTTAAAAGTGTTCTAACTCAAATGTCTACAAATACTGGGCTAGTCAAATAAATTACGATGTAACCATATATCGGAACACTCTGTAGACTTATAATCAATGAGGTTTTTCATATACTAATATGAGTCATCTCCAAGATATACTGAGTCAAAAGAAGATGCAGATGACCATTTGTGAGAAAAAAGGAAAAGTGTGTACATGTATGTGTGTGTGTATATATATATGCTTATTTATGAAAAAATTAGTCCTGAAAAGAAACACAAACTAGTAACACTGTTGCACAGATTCTCTAAACCCTTTCTTTCCCTTTGAATTTTGTGCCATGTGCATGTATTTTTAAAAATACATAAAATGTAAATTAAAAAATACAAATAAAGGTACCGTAGCACTATTTAAAGAGCCAACAAAACTGCTTTCATTAAATAGCCTATGATAGATCTTTATTAGGCTATGAATCCATTAAAAAATGTTTTTAAAAGAATTATTTATTAATAATTACACGACAAAATGTTCACACTACATTAAGGGAAAAGTTAAAAAGTAATATATACAATGTGATTTCAATTTCTTTAGAGAATAACTGGAAGACAAGACAGTGAACTGTTAACAAGTAAAATTAGGAGTGATTATTTTCCTCATTAAATCCAAAAAGGTAGAAATTACAAACACATACCCAATGCTCAGAATAAATTAAAAGATATCCACTCACTTGGAAATAATATATACTTTTGTTTATTTGATATATACACACATATATAATTATACATAAAGTGATAAACAATACTTTAATGTAAAGAGGCCAGGTGCAGTGGCTCACACCTAAATCTTAGCACTTTGGGAGGCTGAGGCAGGAGGATCACTTGAGCCCAGGAGTTTGAGGTTGCAGTGAGTTATGAAGACACCACTGCAATCTAGCCTGGGCAACAGAAAAAGACCTTGTAACTGAAAAACAAAAAAAAAGGTGCATTCTAGGAATACGCTGCAGATAAAGAATAAGGAAAGCTAAAACCTTAATATTAAACATACAAACACTAGGAAAATTTCAAGTAATTAGCTTAATTATTACTGAAAAAGCACATA